TTCTTACAAGAACATCGAAAGCGATTAAATTTGTGCTTGTAAAGTGAATAAATCCTTAGGAAATGGCTGAACAGAAACTTTACTGACTTGTGTATTTCTAATTTATAGATATTACTCTACTGTAATTTTTAATTCTTTTATTTTTGTCGAAAAGGGTGAGAAATCTACATGCATATTAATCTGTAATTTTTTAAGAGAGATTTTTCAAATATAAAGTGTATATGCATGGGTACTTGGCAGTAGACTAATAATCGTTTATTTGTACATACTTAATTTTGTAATTTTATATTGGGACAATAAAGTAACATTCTGCCTTTATATTTTATATACTGTGTAGAATTTAATTGTAATTTTAATATTGCTTTATACTATGTCACATAATACTGTGAACAGTATACAGTATTATGTAACTGATGGCATTTGCTTAATAAATTCTATTTTAGGCCCTCACAGTGGAAGAGGTTCACAAAGCCATATAAAACTTACATTTTATTATTAAAAATATGATAAATTCTGTATTTTTTTAGTAAATATGAATAAACCTTGTTGTTAATAAGGTAATAACAAGAGTAGATTACTCTTGTACTCTAAATAATACTTGTTTGTACAGCACTCAACAGCTGTAATGTAAAAATAGACAATACAGTGTAGGCTATTTGATTTAATAAGAATCTTAATTAGCTTTAATAAAATGAATTCCTTCATAAATGTTAATAAAGTAATACTATATAATAATTGATTGCTAGTGATATGATTTATTATCGATCTAAATTCTTTTACTTGACTACAGCACATTTACTATGCTTAAAAATCCCACTTAAAACCAATATAAACATAGGATGATACAGCCCGTGTAGCACAACGATTGACAGCAGCGCCTCTTGCGGCAACCTCCAATATAGGGACAGAAAATAAGCTCGATTTCGACACTATATTTTCTAGCCACTGTAGTTTACACGTGCAACTATCTATGTTGCTGACGTCCACGGATACGCACCATTTGTATGTTGTGATTGGATAATTTAAATTAGCAAGCAGTGACACTAGTGAGACTTCATTAAACTAATTTTTCTCATTTTTTCGTTAAGGCGTGAAATATTATTTTGTACCGTAAATGGTACTTGAAATATTATAATGTACTGAAAATGTAGTAAAAATCTAAATGTACTTTCAATTTACTGGAAAGGGCAAAATGTACCAAAAAAGTACAAATGTACTACGAACGGCAACACTGCTAGAGGTATGAAACAAATCAATGTAAACTCTCTCTCCGCGAGTTAGGGGCTAATAGTGAACTAAATTCATTTCCCTCCATGTTAGATTTTGTAACCTATTTTTTCCCCGTTAATCTAATATTGAATAAATTGTTGTTCTCATTGTTAAATGTTGTTGTTTACTCGCATATCGCCTACGCCACGTCGACGACCCCTCTCACCTCCTCCACTCGACCTGACAAAAAGTATTCCGACCCTTCGGGACCGCATTCGAAATTTAGCCATCTTGACAAGTGAGCAGGTTTAACGACCCGTTGCCGAAAAGGAAGAGTCGACGGTTCCCGACCTCGACTCTTCCTTTTCGATTTGAATTCGATTTGAATTTGAATGTGTGAACCTGGCGGTTCACACATTCAAATTTATTAATTTTGGATCCTACAATTTACTTATAGCTTAAATAACATATCACCAACACATGAGATTTTATTCATTAAATATGTACAATATACAGATAAATATAATATATATAGTACACATTTTCATTGAATGTAGTTTGGAGATAAAACTCTTCCACGATGATTAAATATATAAAAAGATGGCCTATTTCCGTATGTTTCAAAAGATCTGAAATAAAAATAAAAAAAAAAAGAAAGAATGATATTTCAAATATCTGAAAAATTTGTGTAATAAACTCAACCAAGTTCCATTGTATTTTCAAAACTTTATAGAACAAATTTTTAATATATACTGTACAGTAAGTCCTCACTTAATATTGTTTTGTTATAACAGCAATGAATAAAGATACAAAAAAATTATACAATAATCATTGTTGAATTTTGTTTACAAACAGTAAAATTGAGGCTAAGAAATGGACAATAAATACTGGAGGTAACAAACATGATACAGTTAGAACAATATTAACCAAATTATATCTTGTTTATATCAATTAGCCTAAGATAAAATTGGTTTCATTATATGTCATTTTGCTTAATATCTCAGTTTCCTATTGACAACATTAAATGAGGATTTGCTGTATATTAAATATATTTATGAAATAAAAGAAAATCATTATATTCAAATCTGAAGTAGAGCAACTCTAAAATACATTTAATCCAAAAATATAATGCTGACTTCTATAAAAGGTCAACTTAATCACATGCTTAAATTTATAAATTAACTAGCAATTAAACTACTAAAAAATAAACAATAACTGATCTTTCTGAACTGATTTGAGATTAAGAATGTAGTGGCAATAAACATTCACGTTTCTTTAATCATAACTTAGTTGATCTGAATTAGTATGTAGATGAATTATTGTATTGAAAAGTTCAATCAGGACAATAACTCCTGTGACCATAACTCAGGACCATAACCGTACATAGGGAAGTTGACATTGTGTTAATTCACCCTGATACTTTCCAGGCATTTGTTTGGCAACTCAACATAAATGCTAAATTTGTCACACCACTGAAACCAAATCTTTTCCATACTGTCTGTTATCAAACAGCCACTTGTTTACTAAAAATGAGCCTAATTCCTTTCACAGATAAAGACAATAATTTATCAAAATTAACAGAACCATGTAAATTCCATTTTTCCTTATTACTACTAGCTTTGTCAGCCATTCATTTGTTTATAATTATGTTTGTGTTTCACTGCATCATGCATATAATTGTTCAAGTATAATAAGCATTGGTTTTTCTTTAATAGTGAAAATTATATTGGAATTTACCTTTAGTCTACAGTATATAGCATCATTTCAAATTCTAGCCTTTTCTCCAGTGATCTCATTTGTCTGAAACCCCTAATAGGTATATTTAGGTCTATATAGATGTTTTCTGGAATGGAAGTTATCACTCTATGAAAATGTTATAAATTTCCTTTGGCATACCATTCACAACAGCAGCAAGCCTGCTGCTATTATGAATACAGGCTTATTAAACGGATGGGTTAAAAAAATTTTTTTTATAATATAGTTTATTAATTTTTACAGAATAGGTATATAGAGTAACACAACATAATAAACCAAGGAGGAACTGAATGCAAAATAAATATAAGTTATATTGATTTGTTTAATTTTTTAATTCCTCTCAAATAATTGTGTTAAATCCTGTTTTGAATGATTTCAAAAAATAAAACATAGCTGCTGTTCTTTCATAAATTTTTCTTGATTTTAATTGCCTGAATCTTGATATTTCCTAATTTTTAGATTTTGAATCTTATCAACAAGTATCAAAGTGTCTACATCTTAAAAAAAATAAATAAATAATATAAGAGTAATCAGTGTATTTGTATACATAGCTTGAAACTTGTTATAATTTTTCATAAATAACCTATTTATTACTTAAATTTTTAAGATATGGTGTAAGGAACCAAGTCCATGCTTTATTTTTAGTTTACTTTTACTTTGCTTTATTATATTTTTGTTTGGGGCTTATGTTTGGTTAGGACGAAGGTTTCCTCACCCACCACCCTAACGTTCAAAACGAGAAGATAAAAGATTAACCCCTCACCGACGACGAAATGGCAGCGCCATAGCTAGCATTGCACTCACGTGCACGCCCGAGTGGCAGAATTGTAAGTCCGCACTGAAGGAGGGGACACCCCAATAGACTTTCTAGGAACTTGTGTAACCTTAACAAAACATCCCGATAATTGTTAAAGAAATGCTGTAAAAGGTTAACAAAGTATTGTCGAGAAATAAGCTACCAGATAACGAAGAGAAAACAATGTTACGTGTAGATATGTAAATGAGGGGAGTGGCTACAGTAGAACTGTGACGTCACCTCATACTATAAGTACAGTAGCTCAAGTGAAGACAGAAGAGGTGAGCTCCTGAACCGAAAGCGTTGGTCTGCTGGTAGCAGTGAATAGGTGTCGAATAGGAAATCCTAGTAGGAGATTGAAGGTTCGATTTTGGTGATTTGGAAATAGGAAAGTCTTGAGTAGAAGAAAAGGTTCCGAGTATTAATTGAGGTGACGGTTAGGATTGATAGTTATAAGAGAATTTGTATCTAAGTTAAGAATTGGATTTTGTTTTGTCGGAATTCCAAGGGGAATAGTTCTAAGTTAGAATAAGACTTAAGTTTGTCGGGTTGATTTGTGATTTGATTTTTGATTAATAAATTTGTTGTTTGTTTATAAATCTTGTACATAGTATTGGTTAAACTTGATTAAACATTTATTATTGAGATTTTTTTGTGACTAACTTTGTCCTTAATTTATTTCGGTGCACGCTAAAAGTCCAGGCCTGGCAACTAACAAACGCGAACCCGCGTAAAGTACCCGTTAGGTCCCGGCTCTAAGAAAAATATCGTTGTAGAGCAACAAATTAAAAATAGTACTTTACAATACTGCATTATTTATTCTAAAGTAGGTGTCTCCAGATTACTAAAATATATGAAAACAGTTTTAAGAAAAAAGTATAAGTTATAAAACTAAATCTTAAAACATGAAGGACAATAAACATTGTAAAACAAATATTACAAAACTATTACATATATTTTCCATTAAAATGAAAAACTTGGAATGTCATACTATTTTACTATAAAGCATATTTCAAGTGCATACATTTATCTGACAAAGAAAATAATTAGAATCAAATTCTAGTCAACATACAGGACATCATACAAGTTAACTTTATTCATGTGCAAATACTCTTCACATCTTCAAAGTATATCATGCATTAAGAAGTACACGATATACTTATCATGTACTTCTATATGTACAGTACTTATCATGTATATATGCATTAAGAAGTACATGATATACTTATCATGGTACCAATAACATAATCTCAGATATGTTATTGGTACCATGATAAATTTTTGCCTTACAAGTTTTAATATTTTCTGGACAAAGATTGTGGTATATGAAGATGGTCTACAAAATATTGAAACTCTTAAGACAAAAATTTATCATGCAATTAATAATATATCCAAGATTATGTTGCAACACTCTAAACATTACATACTTTAAAGATGTGAAGTGTGTTTGCATATGTCATGCACCTGACCCTCATTTATCATCTTCAAATCATAAAAGGCAAACTTTGTTGTTTGAAATTTTGAACATAAAAATTTGTTAACAAATATTCAAAAGTTAATAACTGTTTATTTATAATTGCCCATTTTCCTGCTGGATCTTGTAGAAATTTAATCTATATATATAAAATTGCTTGTCCTGACTGACTGACTGAATGACTCACTGATTCATCATCGCCCAGAGCAAACCGCTGGACCTAGAGAGGTGAAATTTGGTACACAGTTAGGTTATGTCATGAAAACGCACACTAAGAAGGGATTTTTCGAAATTCCCAAGTGGGGGGAGAGGGAGAGCATTAAGACTTAACCGGAAAAACGTCTTCTACTGTACTATTTTAGATGCGATTTTTTGTTTTTATCTACGTTTTAGTAGGGTATGCCATGGCAACGCACACTAAGAAGGGATTTTTAGAAATTCCCCCGCGGGGGGTGAGGGATAGCATTAAGGCTTAACCAGAAGAATGGCTTCTACTATACTATTTTAGATGCGATTTTTTGTTTTCAACTACGTTTAGGTGTATTAAATTGATAACATTTCAGACACTGTTATAAATATTTTTATCTACTGTATTTCGATTTTAAAAATGTTCAAACCGTTTTAAATTTGAATTTGTTATTCCATATTGGTTCAATTATAGAACGATTGTAAATGTTCCAGAAAATTGATCAAATTGAAAATAGTTCGTTTGATTCTCGGCAATTCTCTTCAGCGGTAGGTGTTATATAACAATTACTATGGTTATTGAAATATTGAATGTAAATGGGGTTTGCTTGCAAAACCTCTGCGGACGAAGTTGCGGGTAACAGCTAGT